CGATGAAACCCTTATATTGTGACACATTTTTCAGCCATGTCGTTCAGCCCCACTTGACAGCAGCAGATTGTACTTCACCCAGGCTTTAGAGTGGAACCGAGCAGTAGAGCCCACCTCCACACGTTGCAAAGAGATTATGTAACCCCCCAAAAAAACTCCAAACAAGTAAAACTGGAGAAAACAAACTGAGCAAATCATCCACCCATGGAAGTGTCCAGAGCTGTGGGGGAGCAGGTGCTTTTCTCACCCAGTCATTGGCGAGAGGCAGGGTGTACCTCGGATAATTTGCCAATCCATTACTGGGCAAAACAGAGGGAGAGAGGAAGAATGCTCATGAATGTCTCTTATCTGCAGGAAGCTGGAGTATCCAGAGAGAACATGCATGGTCTATGCAGAAAGACCATGCAGAACAAATCATGCAATATTATAATCAATATTATGACATGTTTATTTATTTAGCAATTTAATAAACAACAGCACATGGTTAACATTGTGCTATCAATGCAGTGTAGTAAGACTGAACTCAGTTTAACTGCATCAAGTCATAAAAAAACACCAAAGGAAGTAAAGTTAAGTTGGGGAGTAGAGACGAACCGATCAGATATTAATATCTGCATCGATCCTGATATTGAAAAAAAATTATAGATCAGGTATTGACTATGTGCTGATCCATAAGGACAGATCTATTCAGTCTAATTCTATGCTCTGTGATTTCAGCGATGTCATGCTGTTTTATTAGCTTTACATTAAATTCAAAATTCCTAATCGCACTTTCTGAACCATTTGACAGAATGTTTGTTGCAGTTTATTTTTGATGTTTGAACAAGCTGGCCAGCATATTGTTTTGGTCATTTTCAGTTTCCTTTTTCACTTTCCATTGGCTGTTCTCCTAACTGCACTGACTGAACAAATTAAAAGTTGCTTTTTGTGTTTGATATGAAAAACATGTCAATACACCAACCGCTTGTGAAGCCGTTGGTGTATTTAAGTGTGCTGTTCTGGTGCAGAGTTAGCAAAAAATAATTCAGTATATTTATGTAAGTGTTTAAAAAAATGTTTAAAGTCAATTCAGCACCGTTTTTCTGTATTCAATTGGTATTGGCTGATATTAAACTTCAGATATCGGAAGAGAAAAAAAAATGGATCGCTTCAAGGATTAGTTGACACCGCAAGTCATAAAAAAAATGTTGATAGCGAGTTTTATTGTTATGTCGCACAGAGCAGAACCACTTTCATGTTGTTTATAGAACTGCCAGGAAGTTTTGGTGACAGTTTCGCTTTAAGTTTATGCTTTCATTGTCTGTCTGCTAGCAAGTTAGAGGAAAATCTGATTCTCATTCAGCAGCAGCACGACTGCAGTGCAGGAGCATCAACACAGACGCATAAGGACACACCGGGGCTTTGTGACAACTCCAAATGGATACGTATTGTTGCATTAAAGTCACAGTGTGGTGCATAATTTTACCTATGGCAGTAATTGGCGATAATGTCTTTGGAATCTTTACCAATATTATCGGATGTGATATGTGGTTACCGTATGTTCTTCTTTCCCTTGGAGCGGGTGTCAACAGCAGGAAATGGTGTTCATGCTGTAAGATTATCTCAACAGTAATGTTTAACTTTTAACAGCGAAAGTCTGTACAACCTTTGGTTAAGTATGTAATCTAAAACACTTCACATGGGTGGAAATTGGACAGAACTGTTCTACCCTGAAGATATATTCTTGAAAACACAGTTTGTGATTTATGAAACCTTGTTTTCCATTTGTGAAAACAAAAAGTACCCTCTACTGCAGGGATAGTAATCCATTTTAGTTTTAGTCTTCAATGCAGCTTCAATGTTGAGGATCAAGAAAAAGAAAATTAAAGATGTTTTCAACTCTAATTGTAGCAAAAGATATTTCTGGAGGCCTCAATCCAAATGCATGCCACATTTGCTGATATTTTTTGGAAAACAGTTTGAAAACTATCATTTCCTGTGGCAAAAAACCCCTCCAACCCCTCGCTCACTCTTCTGTTTTGGATGTTTTGTTATTACACAAAAACCCTGGATTGGCTTGTGTTATTCCTTCTCATACTTCTGCTGTGGTGGAAGCTGAAATGTACAATGTAATTGTAACTTGCCTTTCCAAATAAAAAATTTAAATACAAATTAAATTTTTTTTTTTTTTAAAAAGTCAAAAAAAAAAGTTAAAATGATACGAGTATTTTATTTAGGCACTGTGGCTGCTGGCCTAATGATGGTGAGTTTGCACTGTACTTACTGTCCCTCGATAAGCCAGGTACACTTGGTCTTGTACTGATAGTTTCCTGGGCCGTCAGTCAGGTAACCGGACGGTCCTGTGAGCCTGGAGGAGAAATGAGACAGAAAAAAAGAATACATTTAAATCCATAAATAGACTTTTAAAATAAAAATAAATAAAATAAAAACCTGATCAAAGTTTATGTATACGAGTTGTTTGACCAACTGCGGCTTACTAGGTTTTTTTTCCCTCCACTTTTTCCAGTTTTCTTATGTATTTATTTTTGATTAATGAATTTATTTTCATTAATTTGTGTACGCGTTTAGTTTTATCCATGCCACTTGGAAGTGGGTCAGAAGGTAAAACCTCTAAGAATTAAAAAACAAAAAAAATACTGCATGAATTAAACTACTTTATAGAGACAGTATAATGCATTTTGTAGTACAATCGACCACATTACTAAAGTTGTTATGAATATGCTGTGTATATCAAATATGACTTAAAACAAATGTGACTTTGTAATTTAGCACCTTAAAATTGGGCCTCTGTCTCTTTAAGAAGCTCCTGCTCTTTCTGAAGCTCCACCTTCAGGAAGTCATCACAACATGGCTCCTCTATTAACTCTTAAACAACATTTTTACCAACGTTGCACTGAGAAGTAGCTCCCATAATCAGCTCAGCAGATGTGCAGTCCCACCAGGTGTTTGCTAATTGCTGCTGGCTAGTCTGAAGGAGACAAGCGGGGGAGGGCCAAAAGCTCAGCTCAGAGGAGGAGCTACGTCTTGAAGGCGGAGCTAGAACCACCCAGGTGTTTTGCAAAGCTGAATGGTTGCCATGGAAATTAAAGAACTTCTCAAACATGGACAAAAGAATCAAGGCAACATTCAGGTATGTTTTTTTAATGAGGGGATAACTTAATATGATGTAAAGCTCAACAATGTCCATTTTATATGATACTAAAAGTAATAAAATTGTATAATAAGAAAAATGTATAACCAAAAGCTACAAATAGTTCCACATTTCAACAATTGTGCATATCGTGTCACATTACAGCATTAAAAAACCTCAAAACAAACCAAAAAAGAAAACCAAACAAACTTTGCACTGTTGCACAAGAGTTGGCCAGCAGATTAGTGAGTTCAGGTAAACACCAACTTCTGCTGCCACACGTCACTTCAGGTAGTGGATGAGTGAGCCACAGAGTGAGTAAAGATGATTAAACCTCACGGCAAATTACAGGAGGCCATGACACAAACGCTGGTAATTGTACAGTACGGTCTGTTGTTGCCAGCAGAGGGAAGCTCGCCCACTCTGGGGAGCGAGAGAGCGTAATCATTAACGACAGCGAGCCCGCCGACGCGCCCCAGACCGTTGTTTTCCACAACAGTCTCACCTTAAAGTCTGCAGAGACGGCCGAGCCGAGAACACACATCGACTGCCGAACGGAGTGACTCGGCCCAAAGATTACACCTCCAGCCTCAAGAAACCTCAGAAACCAGATGTTATTCTGACAGATCTTGCAAGATTTAGAGGATATGCTTCTGGAAACCAAAGAAACTTTGATAGTTCTAGCCATGTGTGGTGAAAGATTACTTTATTCATATCTAGGCAACAAGTGCACTGCAACCTCTTGTTTGTGAAAGGTTTCCTAAGGCCACAAAGGGACAGGTCAACAGTAGCAGGCAGTTGTTTAGGTTGGGAGGCTCAAAGTCCATTGGCAAGGGTGTTTTTAAGAGAATGCCAAACATATGACAGCACTGCACTACAGGCTACCATGCTGTATCTTGTGACAAACATTGTAGATGTAATCTTAAAAAAAGGAGGAGTTGAATTCCAAGAAAATCTCAGAAATTTTATGAGATTAATCAGAATTTTGGGGGTTTTTTCTCTGAATTTTCTCCTTTTTTGTGGTTGTAGTATCTGCAGTACTTATAAGAAGGCCTGTCACCATAATAAACTTAGTCAGGCGTCCCAGAAATTATTGCAATAAACGATAATATTGTCATTTTGAGGTCATTTTCAGTTAGTGATTATAATAATGGCTCATTAGTGTAAGTACACCCAATCAAAAAATAAGAAAAGATTTAAAGAACATCTAACACTGTAACTGGAAAACATCTTAAATCTCCAAAATAAAAACAATTAAAATGGATTATTGAAACTGTGTTTCCAAAAATAATAATCATTCACTCAGAACAAGGAAAACACGCAAAAGTGATTTCCTAATGTTTCTCAAAATTTCAGCTGTTGTCCAAATGGAAATGATCACACATAAGAAAATAAATCTTAAATGAAGGCAGAGAGAACAAAATCCTGCTGAAGGCTTGAGTTGGTATCACAGGTTCACAGCTTACCAACTGCTTTGAGAGAGCAGGTAAAGATGTGAGTATCAGTTCAGCGGTTAGCCGGTAATCACAGCTCTCAGGGGCATACAGGGACTCCCAGCTCGCAGACAAGCTGAGCTCCTTCAAACAAAAAGCGGCTTCAGACACTCCTGATCCCAATGTGCCACCCAGCAGCAAGCACACAGCTTCTTTAACACTGTTCTTGTCACTTATTTTAAAAAACACAATCTCTACTGACACAGATTGCTCAACAATACATGCCGTTCCAGTCTACCTTCTCCACATTTTGATACATTAAAAGGACTGTACCCAGTAAATATTGGGGAATTTATACAATACTGGATGATGCCATCAGTTGCTAGCAGACGCTGCTAATCCACTTCATTTGCTTTTGTCAGATGGTTTGAACTTTCTCCTTTGGTCTATCAATCCATGAAGCTTCTTTTACCATTTGACGTAAATTTTACATCCATAAAACCAAATTAAAATCAATTTACGTTTATCATGAAAAATAATAGGGGTGCACCAGTTGGAGTTTTCAGGCCTGACCTGCCAATTCTGATTTCGGTCAGAAACCGATTTTTCTTGTCAACAGAAGTGGACCGTGGCTGATTTTCAGACCTGTGCGACAGTAAATGAGACTGGTTGCTCAGACAAGTATCGTCCAATTGCTGATTTCCCAAAGTCAAGGAAATAGGGAAGAATTTAGCTGTGCACTGCACGACTAAATAAAAGAAAGAAAAAAAAAATCTAAAAACGTTCAATGAACATTATGATTTTGATAAGTACTAAAGCTAACCAGAAAAAAAATTATGAAACCTGTTTTATCTGCTTTCACTTTACATCAATAAAACAAAACAACCACAATTGTAATCGGTACACAAAATCTGATATGACAGCAATTAAACTGTTTGTCGACTCATCAGCTTTGGCTGACCCACTTAACTTTAACTGAGTCAGCTAACCAATACATCATGTACTGCTCTGGATGGGAATAGAGAGGCAGACTGCATAGTAAGCTACAAGCTAGAACTGTAATCCATGGTTAATTATTAGTGAAATGAATTTATTTAGACTAGCAGTTTAAGATCCAGTTGTTTTAGATTAATAAGTTGAGAAAGCACAATTTTCAGATGTCATTATCTCTAACTCAGCATTGGCTTTTTGCAAAATATTTGAAGCATCTTAATCAAACTAACACATGAGGTTAAAATCTTAGACAAATTTAAAACCTCCGTATTACGGCCACGCTGAAATTTTGATGCCAGATGTTAAATGCAGTTCTTACAAACCATCGTATGAAGGTTCAGAATTATAAAAGCCAAGCTTCTAAAGATTTCTGCTAATTAGAAACATTTTAGTGTAACTTTATTTATTTGGAAACGATCTCATCTTTTCATACCATTCACAACTAAAATTTAATCAGAGTTTGGAAATTCAATCATTTCATTTGGTTTTGCCTGGAATGTTCAAAACTTCAATTAGTTTGGGACCGAAAATGAAACTGAAGCATTTGATAGGATTATCAAATGATCAGAAACCAGAAGGTGGTTTCTGATCTGATTTATCATCTGCCGTATCTGAAGTTTCAATCGGATGTCAAGTTCAGCTATATATAATACAGAATGTTTGAGCTTGATGTGAAGTTAGATTACAGAAAACTGTCAAAAAAAATACAAATAAACACATTGGTGCAACTTACAGATATTGTATGCCAACCGTTTTTTTCTTGATAATATTTTCTGGAAAGAAAATACGAATCGCAAATGACCAGCCTCAGCATAACCGAGGCTAATGCTAGCATATCCAAGGCTAATGCTAGCCTATCTGTGCTAACTGACAGCAGAGAAATATAGCAATCCAATAGGTGATCACAGTTTGCATTAAGGATAATGCTAAAGTGTTCTCTTTTTGTCACAATATTTAATAATTCCCTGATGTTAGAATACATTATGATAAGCGTTGCATTTTTCTAAGTTCAAAAAGTTAGCATGCCAACACATCAGTTTCCGTTTGTGTATTATAAGCCTGGCGGGCCGCAAGGATTTACCTGGCAGGCTAAGCATCGTTTGTTTATTTATTTTAAATAGGTTTATTTTATAAACCTGTAACAGTGACGGCAAAGACAGGTTGTGTCGGTAGGTTTCTAGCTGTATGTTCCGCCCCTAACAAAGTCAACCATGAAACCCATCGTTAGCATACATATAGCAGATTAGAACCTCAACCAGGCACCCTGAAACTTTGTTTCTTTGAAGTGCCTTGCAAAAAAACAACATTTTCATAAATGCTACAAACGCAAAACTCTTTCAGCTCATCGCGCTGGTACACAGTTTCACATTAATTACATTAGAAAGCCAAAGAATCAGAGATAGTGTCCGTAAGAGAACACACGTCAGAGGCTTACACTGGCTCTATGTTGCACAGACAAGGACCTTATTCACAAATCTGTCTGTCTGCAAAAGAATAGCGACTCAAGACCTCAATCCGTCTAAACGGAGTACTCTATACAAAACCTTCTCGTACTAATAAAAATGTCATGGTTTGCCCTTGGGAGTGCTTTTTGGCTCCAACCAAGAAGGACAGAGCCGACATCTGTTGCTACAATTTATAATTTAATTTGTTCAGCCTTTGGGTATCAGCATTACAAGCAATAATTATGGCTACAACTTGGAGTAAAAACTAATAAAAGTAACACAGGAAACCATCTAAAGCAGCAAAAATGTATTCCATGAGTCTGGGTTCCTGAGCTTTGTATGGTAG